AGGGTCGCAGGACATGTAAAATATTAGAAATAAACTTTTTGACTGCTACTTATTGTTAGCCGCTCAGTGAGCGGTTATAATACTGAATGCACTCACTGAAAAACCTATTAACGTACTTTTGCTTATTAATGGGAAATATGATTTTTTATAAAATTGACAACGTATATGATTCGTATTCGATCCATCTAGGTTCGAAATTTTCGAATAGTTTGGATTCAAATCATAAAAATTCAAATTTGAATCGAATCGGGTGATATTCGATTCGATTCGATTCGTATTCGAATAGTTGCACATCTCTGAAGGGCAGCGAGGCTAAAACATAATTTTTCTTTCCTTTACATCGGCGTGATATACGACCTATTAAAAAATATACCATTTTTTTGCATTTTGTTCCGTTGTATTGCGTCGTATTTTATTTTTTACACGCTTCCATTTTTGTCGCATCGCAACCGCTAAATAGTCTAAATACCTGGCTCGCGTGTCTTTTCGTTCAGGACCGAAATAGATATCGATCAGCCAGTCCAGCTGTTGACCCAGCAACGGGACAACATTTACACGGGCAAGTTCGTACACGAGAGAGAGAGGACAACGCTCGCGTTTGTATTCGCGTTGTAACCGCGTGAGAGGACCCGTCATTGTTTTTCCCGTCACCGTCGTCGACTTTCGCACGGCCGCGACTTCAATTCTGCGGCTCAAGCCGTAGGTATTATCCATCGATGGACGAATGCTGAAATAAACGACCCGCAGCTGATCGTCCTGTTAACGCTCCTCGAGAGAGAGAGAGACGCGCGCGGTTTATCTGACAGCTCCGCTTTTCCGAATTGGAACGACTAGGGATCGGCGGTCACGACTCGCCTCGCGATTCGAGGAGCCTCGTTTCTGCGACCGCGGCGCGGCGTGAGAACGGCGACAGGACAGGACACACGCGTACCGTGCAGGACAGACAGGACATTGTAAGATGCCGCGGTCCGTGACAGCTCGGATGGCTTAACCGATATTTAACATTCCGCCGCTGTTGCGTAACATAAATTGCATTGAAAAATAAATTGAATCCCGTTGTGTAAGCAGCCATCTCTTCGGCGTTCTATTATAATAAGCGTATTGTGAGATATCTTCTTTAACATTTAGCAATGTGGTACGTCTCACATACTTGCTCTATAACTGTGTAATGGCTGGTATAAAGAGCCATATTAATTTGAAATAAAAAGAAAAGCGCACTCGTATCATTTGATGTGTTGAATATAATTTCAAAAGAATACGCAAATATTTTATTGTCAACGTTCCTGCGGTACGAATAAAAAAGTGTTACGCAGATTTGCATTATTTTGTAGCGAAAATTCATCGTGGCTTGCGCAATTCTCGCTGAATTTCGAAATCGGAGAAAGAACAAACGCGACTCGCGCGTATACGTCGCAATATCGAGATGGTCCCTGATGAAGCATTGAGGCCACGTACATACAGTTCGCGCACTATTGTTCAAAGGAGACGAATCGCGAGGTAAAACGGTCGACGACGAAGCCGGCGACTAATTAACGTAAAATATTCGCACTTTGTTTAGATAACGCTGACATCGCTGACATTCAGATAACGCTTCCATATGACGATGAAAGCTGTTATTTTATTCAAGCTCTAATGGGTCTCTACGATTTATCGCGTTCATCGCGTCGCGCTAATGAATTAGTCCTTGCTGTCTCTTGGCTCTAATTATAACGCTTCTGCCTTTTACAAGGTGATACAAATAGACAAAAGAAATACTTGTATCATACGATCGCGAGCGTGTAGATATCAGCTTTTTATACCGTTGAAAGAGCGCAGGTCATTTATCAATTACTATAATTTTGCGATGTTGAGATCTTCATGCGCGTTACCCAAGTCATTATTGTATTTTTAACGAGCGGCTGTTTAGGTAGCTTGGAAACGCCGTGTTGTAAGTTAGCGAACTTCCTCGCAACGTCTTATATATATAGGCGACGCGTAATTACGCAGCGCGTACGTGAATGCGTGACGAGTCACGTCCAAAGTTGCGTAAACGCCTCCGCGCGCGATCCTGGCGCGGAGAAAGAACGGGAGATAAAACGAGGAGTTCGCGAATGAGTCGAACGATATTAGTAGGTCGCCGTTATTGCATTATGTATTGAGTCGTGCATTAAAGAGATGTGCGAATCAAGGATTTTTTATGTCGAATCAAATCGAATTTTATTTGCTCTTTCGAATTCGAATTGAAGCGAATCGAATCATGGAAATATAATTTTTAATTAACAATATAATTATTATTGGATTAAATTTTAACACGTAGACAATAAGATAATATTTTAATGTAGAAAAATAATCTTGATTATAAATATAATATAAATTCCTTTTAAAGCAAAAAAACACATTTTAATATTTAATATGAAATTAATAAAATATACTTTATTTAATGCCGCAGTAAAACTAAAACAATTAGGCGAAAAATCATAGATAAATTATTAAAATACTGTTATAATATCCAATAACATTATTTAATTACATACTTAGAAATTAAAGTATAATAATAGATATAGTTTATTTTATTAGATATCAATACAATAGCTTTTTTTACGCATATTCAAACTTTTACTTATAATTTGATAGGGTTTCAGTACATGTCAAAAATTAGAAAAGAACTTTTTGACTGCTGCTTAGCTGCTCAGTGAGCGGTTATAATACTGAATGCACCTATTAACATGATCGTATTTGCTTATTAACGGGAAATATGATTTTATAAAATTGACAATGTACATGATTCGTATTCGATCCATCTAGATTCAAAATTTTCGAATCATAGAAATTTAATTTTGAAATGTTCGCACATCGATCTCCATCTGAAAACATACATTTTAATATGATTTCGCAGAAATATGGAAATGATTATATTATGTAGATATAGGTATTGAAATTATTATATCGTATTGATGATCTATTTGATATATGCAGAGATGCGAAAGAGGAGATGTAAGAGAGATATGGAAATATGGATGCGCACAGAGAGATGTCAGAATATTCAAATACAATATCAAGCTGCAGACACGGAGAATCCCTTCTCGGGTAACGTACGCGTCTACCAGGTAGAAATTCCGCGGCGGCATAAAGAGAGACTCGCGTCTCCCGGACGCGCTTGTTCGTAATTACGAAAATGCGTGTACGTGCGTACGGGACGCGGCACGTTCCAGGTCGCGGAGTTCGGCGGCGAACGAGGAAAAGAAGGAAGAGGAGGAGAGAACGCGCGCGCGCGAGGTGGTTGCGACTTGCGGCCCGCGGGGAGGAGAAAGAAAGTATCCGATGAGGAAGAGTCGACGAGCGGAATATCAAGCGAACGGCCCGTGTAATTCGGTTCCGTACGATCGAATTCACCAGCTCCTGGGCCGACGCGGCGACGGGGAGCGGCCGGGCGCGCCAAATCTCTCGCAAAATCTCGTTAGAGAGACAAAAGAGTCGCAGGAAATAAAATCCTACCGGATTTCAGCAACCGCGTGCGCGGCATAACGGCCACGTATTGTGCAAGCGGCGTCTCTCTGTAAGTGTTCCTCGGTTCATAATACCTCTCCCCTGCCGAGGGGGCGACACGTTGGCACATTTAGAAGAGAGAAAGAAAACGCGGTCCGTGGCGAGCGAATTTTTCATCTTCGAGCTTAAAAATGGGATTTTCGAGAACAAAGTTTGCCAGAAAATTTATAATAAATCTTTTTACGTAAGACGAGGTTGAAGGAGAAGGAGCGTTCAATCACAGTGTGTTTGCTGAGAAGATAACGCGATCGACGCTAACAATAAGTGTCACTAGATAGAAAATGACACGGGATGCGTTCTGTATACGAGGAATAAAACGAATGATATTTTCTAATACAAGTTTCCGAGGCCGTCGGTTCTCGCAGATTCAACTTTGTTAGCGGGGTCGAGCGAAATTTATATTTCTCTGCCGTGCGAACGCGCAACGAAAGTTATACATCATCATGGCGCATGAAGAACGTTTAATCTCCGTGATTCAGCTCGTTAGAGGCGGATTGCCCGTTAGACGCGGCTGAGCTGTCGGCTGCTGTTTAAAGCCGGTTCTACAATAAGTCACAAATGATGGCAAGTTGCTAGTTGAAAAGTGTTAATTTTGATTGCCGATTGCCACAGTTACTGTCGCCAAAAAAGTTAAAAGTTCGCCAACTCTCTTTTGACAACCGCAATTGACAAGCGCGACATGGAAATAACACTTTTCAACTAGCAGTTGCTATCGTTTGCAAAGTATTGTAGAACCGGCTTAATAGTTAAAAATGAGTTGCGTAACTCCGTTGCGGGTTGGGGAGGACCTTCGTTGCGATTTGCGCGAGCGCGGGCGAAGCGCGTCGTTTAGCATCGGGAGGTCCTCGCGAAACGGACAGCTTGCAAGCACGTACCGGTCTCGGCGCCGGAGGATCGATGCACGTGCTCGTAAAATCCGACCGTGTCGCAAAGTGTTTGCTTTGCTCGCAGTGCGCCGCACCAGGTTTGCGACACGCGACGGCAGGCACCTGCCGCCGGGAAGAAGAACGGCGAGGCCGCAAAACGGAAGATCAAGGAGATTTAAGGACCGCCCGAAGGAACGTCGCATACGCTGAATCTCTGTTAGAGACGATTTATTATTAGACGTGACATTTCGACGGACGCGGCCACAATCTGGAAATGACAAACGCATGAATATCAAATTGACGCAATAGTTTTAGTTGCTCTTAATATGTTACACGGAAAGTCACGCGAAGAGACGCGATAGTGTCTCGTATCAAGTACACCCAACTCTCTTTTTACGCAGTAGATACGTTCTACGTGAAGAAGAAATCGCGTGATTTGGAAAAACGCGTAAAAAAAATGGTGCTATTCAGGAAAGTTTTTTTTTTCATGGTTTTTTCACTCGGTATGCATCTACCGTGTAAAAAGTGCTCGAATGTAGACCAACTACGTGATAAAAAAAACCTTGTAATATGTGTTGCAAAAATGGAGAAAGATTATGTTTTACTTCAGAGCCTGCTGATTAACTTTAAATAAAAAGATACATATAAGTATGTAAATAACCAAACAAAATTTTATTTTATGACTTATTTGATTGTATAGTCTGTCTAGAATATTACTCGCTTTTTCAACATGATGATATGGACGGATATGTGTCCGATTGAAAACTTATTATTAATTAATTATTAGAAATTAAAATAAATGTATATACATATACACAAGAGATTACAAAAATTTTAGAAAAACCGCGTGAAAAAAACGTGGGAAGGAAAACCTCTTAAAAAGAGAGTTGTGTCTACTTATTTTCATGTTGGAGAATCACGTTTCTATAGATCCTAAAATAAGTACATAAAAGCAAAATTTATTCAAAGAAAAAGATCTCGATGTTTCGGTAAAAGTTAAATTGATCCAGCATGAAGCGTTATTTTTATTTTGGAAAATTGGGTTTTTATTAATTTTAAAACAGAGATATATAAAAGCGAAAGTTATTTAAAGCAAAAGTTGCAATATTTCAGTAAACGCGTAAATTAATCTAACGTAAAGAGAGGACGATTCCTTCCATCCTTTCGCGAATAATCGGCGCCATGACGATAACGGACGTTCCTATAGTCACCCGAAGATATAACAGCGACGATCGGGTGTCTAGCTACATGCGCAAGAGACGACGTGCACCTGACATACACGAGGAACACTTATGGGAACCCGAAGTGAGGTAAGACTCGCGCAAGCGGACGGACGGAGCCAAGTGTGGGCGCAACAGAGGAATATAAATCGCGCAATAGGTCCGCCGGTCTCGTTCGTCCAGGTCGCGTTTCCGCAAAGGCGCGCGCGATTAAAAACTGGAACGCGAGTCCGCGAGTTCTTACCATGCATACGAAAGGAGAAGAGGGCACCCGAGTATCCGAGGCGGAAAGAAAAAAACAGCGAGGCTGGTACACGATTATGCGTGAGAATGGCGAGCGAGACATTAAACTTCATCCTCTTTCCAACGGGAACGTGCCTCTCATCACTTTCCCTTTCTTTAAAAGGCCGTTAATCTTCTCCTCTGTGTCCTTCCTCTCCCTCTCTCTCTCGGAATCGTCATCTCACTTTCCTGTTTGACTACTCATACTCGTCTCTTAAAACGCGCTTCTCAGTTCAGTAAAATGATTTAGGCTGTAGTCCATTTGAAGCTACAAATGCTTTGAAGCTTTCTTCTTTTTCTTCTTTTTTCTTTATGAAGGAAAGGAGAAGAAAAGTGTTTCGAAGCATTTGTAGTGTTAAGTGGACCGCAGCCTTAGTCTTACGAAAGTCTTTTCCCGCCTATTCTTTTAAGATAATTGTGATCTTAAAAATAGCATCTTCTTCAAATTAGTCTTATCTCTCTCTTTTTAAATTAATTAATCTACATATAATATTCCACGACCTTTTACATTAAGTAAAAGGTCGATAGCTCGAATTTACATAAAGTTAGGCATTTAAGTGGAAGCAGTGAAAAGTTATGGTATTTTATAAGTTTCTTCTATCAATTTATTGGATGATGTCATCGTCACTGAATAACATAATGTCCCTTGCTACTCTGCTCCGAGGGCCGCAAGAACTAAAGTTATAAGGATTGATAAGTTCATAAATTTAATCGCTTCAGTGGAAAGTACGGAAGACCGTAAAGTCAGAAGAATGACAGATGTAAAGTCTTTAAAAGGTGGAAATTCAGAGATCCGTAGGTTTTAAAGTGAAAACTCTCCCCGGCGAGAGAATAATCTCGCGGTGTGCCAGTCAACGTTCCCGTGCCCATTAAAAAAGGTACCAGACAGAAAATCGTTCCCCATATATCCGGCGGCCGCCACCCGCGCGATTCTCAAGCCGCCGCGCCGCCACCACCGCCGCCGTCGCGACGGCGAAAGGAGGGGGGCGCGAGAGGGGATACCAGTCCCCGTAGGAAGGGTGGGCATCGCCTCGCAGACGGGGGATGAAACGAGTCCCTCTGTTTGATCCGCAAACACTGTAATTGCCTGGAATATTATATTAGGTACGCCGTTGCGGAGTACGCGAGGACGGGAGGAGAGTAGATGCGCGCCGCCGTGGAAAGCCGGTTAGGCCCCGAGGGGGGGCTAGCTGGAACAAAGGGGAACGCCGGCACCCCCGAAGCGGGAACGCGAGCCGGAACAATAATTTATTTTTGTCCTTCTCGTGGAGGGGAATGCGCTCTGGTCGTGGCAGGTACATATTAACCTTCGTTCTCGATTGCGGGTCACTCCCGTCTAAATGAGAAAAGAATTATACCGGCGAAACCAAGTCCAAAGCAACACGACGCAATTTTAACTCCATTCGAATAATGCCGCTGAATTATTCGGACCTTCGTGTAATTTGCAACTTGAAGTGTCTGTCTGCTTGTAACGTCGCTCTAACAATAAATGTAATATGGAACCAGAAATCGCTTTTATATACAAAATACATTTTTTAGGAATTATTTAATACATGCATGCAGACATTTAACGATTTATGTTCATTTTTTGCTTGCTTTAGAATTTTGTTATTTTTGAACTTTAAAACATTTGCCTTTATGTCCTTTCGAAGTTTTTGTTCTTTCATCTTTGAATTACTGGTTTATTTTTTTTTTTTTTTTAACAAATCCGTGAATATTCAGTTATTTTATTCAGGCTGCTCCGCGAGTTCTTCCTTCGTAATTTCGTCATTGCCGCGCCGCTAGAAGCGAGTATGATTTGCATAAATTGAAAGGCTGGCTTAGAATGATGAGCGTTGAAAGCGAGAGAGGAAGCGGGAGACGACAGGGAGGATAAGCGGGGGGGGGGGGGGAGAAGAACGAGGCTCGCTCGCACGAATTGAAATCTCCGGAGATCGGCCTCGCTTTTACTCGGTTGCGTTTCCGCGCTCTGGTCTCATTCATCCGCGCGCGTCACCATCCGCGTTCATCCGCGAAAATTAGCGAAATTATCACTTATCTCGTTCCCCTCGCTGCTTTGAACGTCGAATACTCGCGCGGATTAAACCGGCGCGGCGCTATCGTTACGCGTAAATCTAGATGCGTTCTCTCGTTGATAATATTCGTAACGAAACAGAAAAGAGCCGACAAAATCAATTCTTGCGCGAAACTAAATTCAAAGTATTAAAATAATGATGCACGGAAAAAACGGTTTTGCTGATAAAGTATAAAAATTTAACTAGATACAGATTTGAAAATAATTTTGTTGCACCATCAAAATAATTATAGTAGATTGCTGAAGTATATGATGATATAATGCTGTAAAAAATTTTGACATTTTAGCAATAATTTTGAGTGTTCTACATAATTATTTTGATGGTGCAACAAAATTATTTTTAGATCAGCATCTAGCTAAGTTTTTAGATACTTCAGCAAAACCGTTCTTTCCGCGTGGAGAATCGTGAATCGTTGAAGACGAAGCCTAATTGTGATTCATTACGTAAACATACTATCGAATAAATACCATCAGGATAATTTATAAAAGATGTATATAAATATCGAGATTAAAATAATGCCAATATTTCAATGTTTTAGATTTATTTCCTTTACCCTTATTAGATCGAACGAAACCCCGTTCGCGTACTTTCCCCGGCGCGTTACCGTGCCTTAGTATTTCCTTGGTAAATCCTTAGGATTTGCACAATGACCGGGGAGAAGAGTACACAGGCGCTATTGCAAATAGGCGAATTGCCAATGGCGCGTTACGAAGTCCGACGAGGCCTGAAATCGCATTGTTGCACACGAAAAATCGATTGGCAGGCGCAATTATATGTCGGCCTCTCATCGTTCCGCTGGCGCCAATGAAGAAAACCCGTCGCGCGCGCCGCGCCGCGCCGCGCGTCTTATTCCTTCGGTCCCGCGCGCGAAATCGTAATCACCGGCCGACCGGTTAATGGCGTTTACGTAAGTGCGTCTGTCGGCGATGTAAACACCGGCTTCTCATGCAAACATGCGGATTCGCTCGACGAGGCACTGACGAACCGGGCGTCGATAGCCGGGGAAAGCGGGAGAGAGAAGTGCAACGTCCGTCCTCGCTAATAAAAGCCGTTAAAAAAGTTCAGTGAACTAATAACAGGCCCCTCCAAATATTCGCTACTAAAAAATTTCCAATTTTTAATAGATAATTTATAATAATATTACTCCGCTTTTTAAAAATGCATAAATGATTAAAAAATTCAAGTTTTCTTCAGGTTTCGAAAATCTAAAATAAAAAATCAGAACGTTCTCGTAAATTTCTCATGAATATTGTTGTAACATATTGACATATAATAATAATAATAATAATAATAATAATAATAATAATAATAATAAT